GGTCCTTGCCACAGTGCAGAACAAGCCCCAGCACCCACAGAACAATGGGTAGACAGTCAAGGCCCCTGTGATCATCACTGGGTGGCAGGAAGGGTTTCTCAAGCCCTTCTCACACAGACTTTCTCCTCTGAATGACAACTTCCCCCCAGGTGATAGAGCAGTCACCTGGGAGATGAATGTCCACAGCAGACATCCTTGCTCTAAGCCAAAGGGATGCTCTCCTGGGCTCTGGAACGAGGTGATTCACTTTGCACTTGGATTCTCTGCTTTGGGTGCCAGAAAACTAGGTCAAAAATTCCCAGGCTAAGGCAGGAAAATGATGAGAGGTTGGGGCTCTGCAAGATGCTCCAGTTTCCTTCTGGAAAAACTTTCAGAAGCCTGACACCTGCTCCACAGCAAAACAGAACATTTTTCTACACTCAGAAGAATCTTTAGGATGACAAAAGTATTTCTCACTCAGCCATAACACACACCAGTGTTTTTCCATCAGCTGAGAAACCTCCCAAGAGAGATGGGCTCCCTCTCAGCCTCCCCTTTGGCAGAGTCCTCCAGGTGTCAGGTGCAGCCCAAGGACAGCACTGGGAACCAGGCAGTTACTCCCTGTGTTTCAGAGGAGTGGGAATGAAGACCTGGCATGCAGCAGGTACGGCTCTGTGGATGCAGTAGAGGTGGAGTCTGGTGTTTCCTGCTGGGTCCAACACAGTCTGTGGACAGGAGGAAAGGTGCAAATGAAGCGATGCAACATAGAGAGGGTGTCTGATATCTCTGCAACATGCCAGAGATGTGGCACCAGGGCACATTCCTCCAGATTCCTGATTGCCAAGCATTTTCCTTCCCCTCTCCTTCTGTGAGCACAGTACCATGGGGCATGGATCCACAAGGCCCAGATCTTGCAGCTTCTACAGATGAGGTCTTGGATGTTACTCTATTTCCTCCCCATGTCCAAGAGGACATTTTCAGAATACATTTCCAGGTCCCACATGACAGCAAAGCTTGTTCTGATGGTCTCACTCACAGTAAAGTGTCACCACATGGAAATTCTCCACCAGGAGAGAATTTCCCTCGCAAGCCATCTCACACCGAGGTGCAGTTTATAAGGATATGGGATGGTCACAAGGGTTTGTAGGTTACAAGAATCTCTATGGCTGCCACTGGGAAAAGGGGAGGGAGGTTTTGGAACTCGTGCATGCTCTCTGAAGGGGTGAGGCTGGCAGAAGGTCCTGGTTGCTCATGGACACTGTGCCCTGCTGATCCCCTGTTCCTGGATGTCAGAGCTGGCGTTGTGCAGTTCCTCAGCCAGGGGCTGGAGTGGTTTCATGCCCACTCTGGACCTCAGCCCTCAGGGGTGCAGCATGTGCACTGACTGGGATCTCTTTTCTTGAACTGCACAGAAGATGTATGAGGCTGAGATTTCCTCAGTGAGATTTGGGATGACCCAGATCTTTGAGGTTGTCTCTAGGGTTAATGACCTGGTCTACCTTTGAGTGCTTAGGAGACCTCCCCTTTGTGACTTCAGGCTTTGAAAGGCCCTTGAAGTAATGGTTAACCAGCCCTGTGGACATCAGTTTTCCCTGCACATCATGTCAAGCCCAGTGTCACAAGAGTCACTCCCCATGAGAGGCTGCTTCATCACCCACTGCAAACCAGTATGGAGAGCAGGATGTGAAGAATCATAGAATCACAGAATCATTCAGGTTGGAAAAGCCCTCTGAGATGATGAAGTCCAACCCTTAACCCAGCACTGCCAAGGCCACCACTAAGCCATGTCACCAAGTGCCACATCCACACATTTTTTGAATACCACCAGGGATGGTGGCTCTACCACTGCCCTGGGCAGCTGTTCCAATGCCTGACCACCCTATTAGTAAAGAAATTTTCCCTAATACCCAGCCTAAAACACCCCTGACACAATTTGAGGCTTTTTCCTTCTTTCCTGTCACTTGTTACCTGGGGGAACCCTAAGCCCCACCTGTCAGGACAGGGTGACCAATGCTGCAGAGTGACCAGTTTAGGCTCTGTGACAGCCACAGCTGAGCATCTCTCCTCTCTCCACCTGCAGTACAGCTCCCTACAGCCCTGGCTTCAACACTAGCAAAGTTAAGAGGCAACTCAGCAGGATATCAAGGGGACCTGCAAATTGGTATCACTTCCAGTTTACTTCTGTCCTGGGCATGTCACTTGTGACATGGGCATGTAAGTACACAGAGAGATATCCTTCTGAAAAACACACATAAAATAGAGCCCTGCTCTTTCCTTGTTTTGTCAAGGAACATGCTAGAGGAAGCAGCTCTCAGTAGATGGGAATATTGCTGACTTGTGTTACAGCTCTGTCACACAGGGAGCCAGTGGCCTTGCCCTCAGTAGCTCAAAATGGAAGTAACATTTTAAACATTGACCTTACACTAATCAGCATGAAGCACAAACAAGAGTTCACATCACCTACTGTCTCTTTGGGTGAGTTCTGAAATAAATTCAGCAAACAATAAATTAAAAATTCAACAGATCATTATATAACAGATCTGGATGTGTTTATTTTCTAATGGATAAACACAGATACAATATAAACCACATTTGAAATGCATCATTCTCAAAAGGAGGCAAAATGGACTTCAGCTTTAGTAGAGCCTCCATTCTTTGTTCTAGCAACTTCAGTGGAATGAAATATTGGAAGTTTTGATTATAAAAATTTCTTAAAAAGGACACTACAGGCAAGGCAGTAGCTCCATGTGTGACTTTGCAGAGTAGGATACTAAATAATACATATTGAGCACATGCTGCTGCACTGTAGAGAATGTCAAAGGAGCAAGAAAGCATGAGATTTTGGTTTTTGGAGAGGTTCGATGGTAGATGGGCTTTTGGCATTCCCAAGGCACAACAAAGCAGAGTGGCACTGTGGAAATAAAATACATTAGTTGGATGTTCCTGCTAAACCTACAAGAAGGATATTTCAGCAGGCCCTTCTCAGTTCTAAGATCAGATGAAGGGTTCTGTTCTTTCACCATTAGTTCTAGGGAGAAACATCATCTGCATTTTCCATAATTTCTTTGTGAACCATAAAACCTAATTTTAAATTCAACTTTGTTTTTTGGACTGTAACTCTGTACCAAGGGCTGAAATCTCTACCTGGAGAAGAAAAGCTCCTGCTGCAGAAGCTGCTCCTTCTTCTCCCCACAGGATGAGTTATCTCTACAACCCCTAACACCATCCCCAGCCCATTCCAGCTCAAAGACCTCAGCCCCATTCTGAGGAGTGCTCATCCTGCTGATCCTGGCTTGAATCCCAAAAGTGAAGCAGGAAGGCTGTCAGTTCCTTATCTGCTCCCTTTCCAAAAACATGTCTGAAAACAGAGAAACCAGTCATTTTTCCTTGATTGTACTTCCACTGTCTGCAATAAATTGTGGGGTTTTTTTATCTGATTAATCAAAGTTCACAGGAACTAAATCAACATTTCAAAATAGAAACAGCCTAATGGCATTTTGGCAGCTTTCAAAAATTAACACTTAGATCTATTACTTAATGGAAGTTTAACACTGACTACCCCAGCACTTTATTCCAAAACCCTCCAGAGCCTCTGCTATCCTGAGCACCAGAACTATGTACTATGTTAAAGTTTTCATAATTAAACAATACCATACGATAATTAACATGCAACTTCACCCCAGTAATGATCAATAAGGAGATGCACCAATGAGATGAGATAATTCCCCTGGGTGTACTTTAAGCCATCTTATTTTACGTGTTGGACCTTACTTGGATATCTGCCTCACACTGAGGCTGGACTGCCATCTACAAATGCTTGGCTTTTTCCCACTTTTTCCCACAAGTCAGAGAAATTAGCTCAGAAAGGGACTTTTCCAGGCATCTGCACTTAAACAAATGAATCTCAATCCAGTCACAAAAAGCAAACACCAAATGACTCAGATAAGATGCAGTTTATACCTCTAAAGTGTTGCTTTAGAATCTTACAGGTCTTGGCACACATTTTATTAACAGCAATTTCACATTCACTGGCAGATCACTGATGCAAACATTGAATACCGTCAGGCCTGCCACCAATTCCTGCAGCAAGCCCTGAGAAACACCAGTTTTCCCACTGACAACCACCTTACAAGTACTTTTTTTCACCTTTAATTCACACTATATCTGCTCTACTGCTTCTGGGAGTTAATATTTGACTCCAGCTGCAGTTACATAGCACGACTGCTCTGTGCTGCATGTGTCAAGTAACCTCTCCATCAAACTTGTACTTTCCACAAAGAATAAATCAGGGATGTTTGATGAAACTGATTTATCACAGGTTGCCACAGACTGTGGCCATTAGTCTCAGTCTCTCCTTGAGCTCCTAAAACCTGAATTTGTCTTTGCTTTCAGAGTGTCCTGCAGCCAATACTTGTGCAAGTTTCTGTTCTCACATACTGGTATCCATGATCCCATCACAGGGCACTACAACATCTGCACCCCCTTGGTTTTCTCCCATTATCTCTCTACCCTTTTCCCTATTTTCCTTGAGCCAAATATCTTTGTGGTACACGCTGTACAACATGTTCAGCTGGAGATTAAAAGAAGCAAAGTATTCCCTAAGCAGATCCAAACTTTCTTTCCCTTACCTTATATATAATGAGGAAAAAAAAAAAAAAAAGAGTGCATAAATACTTTTTACCTTTCCTTAATGTTCCAGGCTCTTTGCATTCTTTTCCTTTATTGCACTGGTTGTTCCTAATGGATAAACCTTGGGTACAGCAAAGCCTGTTTTTCCCTTTGTAGTACTCCTTGATTTGGGGACACAGTGAGGGATGGAGCAGCAGTGGGATCACAGAGGTTTGGTTATTCTGACTGGTGCAGTCATCTGGTACTCAGTCCTGGATCAAGGGCTTAAACAGTTCTCCACTCAGCTCTGGCAGGAAATGCAGCCCACCATCTGCAGGCATGTGGGGGCTAATTGTAAAATACTCCCTAGGCTCAAACTTGGTGTAAGTAAAGAAGGAGGTAGGGATGCTCACCATAGATTTTCTGAATTCCTTGGAGGTCATCCTGGGGCAGTTTGAAGTTGTGTGTTTCCATGTACTGGTAGAAAGGAGCCATGATAGCACTGGGATCGTTGGAGTGTTCCAGACCCAGGGCATGCCCCAGCTCGTGGACTGCGACCAGGAAGAGATCGTTCCCTGTGGGAGGAAGGCACAGCCAGGTTAGCACACAGCCACAGCCTGAGCCCATCCCAAACCCCTCTTGCCCACAAAGCCAGAAGCAAATGCTTTGCTCTCCTACTACACAGCAGGTCACAGTGCCAGGGGCAGCTCCTGGAGATGGTTTTAGTCCCAGAAGTCTGCACAGCCTTTAGCCATTGTCATGGAATGGGCCAGAGGCTGCCAGTCCCAGAGCAGGTAAAACAGGCAGTACCTGGAATAAAAGGATACTGACTGTAGAGTCTTTTGCAGAGAATTTACAGAAAATGGCCAACAAAATGATCACTCTATTACCACTGGCTCCTTATCTGAGTGCTGCCAGGAGAGGTGAGAGCGCAGACAGTCTGCTAATCAGTGGTGGAGTGAGTGCTTTGTGCCCCTTCTGTGTCCTCTGGTGCCATGCTCTGATCTGCCCTGGACCAACAAATTGTAGAGGAGGTCTGCAGGCACCTGGCAAGGCATGAGGAAGGACAGAGAAGACCAGGACACTGTCCGTGTCTGTGTCCTAACACACACTGTGCCGTGTGGGCAGCCCCATCTCCTCCAGCATGGGCTCCTCAATGTGCTTTTATTCTGCCGGACTCCTGGCACTGCCATGTGTGCAGGAGATGAGCACAGGTAGCTCCATCCTGCCCCACTCCCACACAGGGAAAAGGTTGGCTTGGATCTCAGTGGTGGAAGACAGAAGGAAGAGGGAGGAAAGAAGGGTTAGGATGCTTCCTGACAGGAAGAAGAAAGGATGAGGAGCGCTGTCAGGTGCAGAAGCTGGGAGCAGTGCGAAGTAGGGGTACCTTCAAATCTACAGGAACACATTCCTCTTCAGTCCCATGGGCCTGGGACCCTCATCTCTTTAACCTAGTGTGGTCCCTGGATGCCTTACTCCATAAGGGCACTGGAAAGTGACCCAGGCAATGCTGTGTAGGGATGAAGATACAGCCAGGAAGGACTGATGTAAGGGTCTCCTCACGGCAGTAAAATATCTGAGCTCTCAATTCTGCCTGAATTTGGGCTCCTCTGGTTTTGTTTTTTTTTTTGGCAAAGCAGAAACCAAGAGCATTTGCAATCACACACTTGCAATCAGTTGTCAGTGGCAGTTCAGTAGCTGCTCTGCCTCTCCAAAGAGCTTCCTCACACCTCCAACTGCACCTGCCTTGGAGGCACCAAAGCTCAGTTCAGTGTCGAGCTCTCCTTGAGACAGGAGTTGCAACAGTGACTCACACAGAACCATCTCCACTTTTTAATTTAAATAGTTACTGCTTCACTGTTACCCATAAAAACATGACAAAGCAGTTCCCAGGGTCTGTGAGCCTCCACAGCAGGGAGCTTTGCCAGCCTCTGAAGATACCTGAGGTCAGTACCAAACAATGCTCCCCCAGCCATACATATCACCACAAAATGGTTAAATGCTCTAAACATTTGAGTTGGAGGGTGAAAGCATCTGAATATGCAAGACATGTTAAAATATATACATGCATTTCAAATTTTCAAATGCAATTGTCCAAAAACATACACAGCCTAAACTTTAGCCACATATTTATGTAAAATTTTAGAATTTCTGTATTTGGGAAGTCCAAATGGAGACCTACTTAGTAATTTTTTCTCATCCGTGGTTGAAAATCTGGTGTGTGTAGAACAAGTCAACACAATGTCCAACAGCAAGTATAAAATCCATGAAGTAGTTTTATGGTAAAGTTTGGAGAACTGATCACTCTTCACAGGTTTTCAAAAACACTCAAGCTTAGAAGATGCACCCAGGTTCCAAATGAGATTCAGAGATTCAATATCCTTTGGCAAAATTGAATTAACTTAAGCCTCCTGTATCACCTAAATGCTCATGAAAGCATCATTTTCACTGCTACCACAACTACTCACATGTGGAAGTCCACAGTAAAGCTCACTTAGTACAGAGCTGACCTCATGAGACCCTGCTCATCACTCAACACAGGCTCATAGTCTGTGCCAGTGCTCAGGGACATCTTCCCTCACCTTTCCTTGGTAGCATTTTCCTCCTTTCTAAAGTATCTGCAGTATTTGTGCTGCCAGTAGGTCTAGAACTTGTCTCTGTGTAACTCTACATATAATCTATGGAAGTGACTTGCCTCTATGTGTTAAAACTTTACCAGGAGCATAAGATCAGGCACTATCTTAAATTAGTTTTAAATAGCTTTCAATCACTTGTTTCTGCCCAAAATAAATGCCAGTCCACTTTACAGGTGGAAAATGAATCCCACAGACTCATAGGATGGTTGAGGCTGGAAGGCACCTCTGGAGATTGTCTGGTCCAAAGTCCAGCTCAAGCAAGGTCAAGTAAAGCAGGCTGTCTTGTCAGATTTTGAGTGTCAGGTTTCTCATACTGCGAAGTCCTGAACAGGGCACTCCAGATGTGCCAAGCAGAAAGGAAGGATCATCACCTTGCTGGCATTGACTTGCTGCCAGCACTCTTCCAGAGGCAGCCCTGGATGCTGTTTGCCTTCTGTGCTGCTGACTCATGTTCAGCTTGTTGTCAACCAGGAGCCTCAGGTCCTTCTCTGCAAAGCTGCTTCCCAGTCTCTGAGCCACCAACCGTCCAGGGCAGGCCTGTGCATTTCCCCTTGCTCACCTTCCTTAGGTTCCTGTCAGCCTACTCCTCTAGCCTCTCAAGGTCTCTGAACAACAGCTTCACTGGGCACTGCTACCAACCACTCCAGATTTCCTGTGATCTTGACTTGCTGAATGTGCACTCTGCTGCATCACTGATGTCATTTCATCAAGCTGTTAGTACTGATCTCATTCAACTCCTCTGACACATATCCTGAACTTCTCCATCTTGTGGTTTCCACAGCCAAGGATGCAACTGATCTTCACACTACCCACATTCCTTCAGCTATCAGGTCCAGAAGATCATAATTTTTTGTTCCTCGATCACCAGTGAGACAACCAGTAAGAATTCTGAGATGATCAGCAAGATGAAGGCTCATTCCTGAAGAAGTACCTCAGCCATGAGGGGTGTCAGGCCAATCATCTCTTCCACTATGGAACAGAAACACACCCTTTTCCCAGCTATGCTTAGGAAACACAGCTGTGGAAAACAGCTGCTGCTGTCCAGTTTTAAATCACCATTCTGACTGGCAGTTGTGTGAGAATGCCACAAAGCACAGAAAATGCTGGCTGGGAAGCTTTGTTGCAACTAGAGGTAAGAAACTCTCAATGAAATGAACTGTCCCAGTTCCAGCACACCCACAGCAAGCAGGTCAAGAGTGGAGTAGAAAAGCTCTCCTCCTCCATGGACAGGAGGCCACCCAAACCAGAGCAGTGATAAACCCCAGGTGGTGGCTGAAGCAGATGAAGTAGAGCTCAAGAGAATTCCTAGAAAGTGAACTGACCTCCAAAGATAGCAGGACAAGAAGCTCCTCTTAATTCTTTCCAAGTACCTTGATTCTCAGTGCTGTGGTTGCTTCTCATCTGCTTTTGCTGGGAAGCAGTCATGGCAGAAGAACACATAGCTCCCTCTCCTTCTGCTCTCTGCCCTGGCCAAAAATTTCTCACCACAGCTTAATCCTCTCATTCTTCTATTTCAGACTCCTCTTAGACACATCTGTTCACCTTTTCCTTCCAGTATGCCTGTGTCATCTTGCTTTCTCCATCCTGCTGTAAACTCTAAGGGGGTCCCAGGTCTGAAACAACTACATCATTCTCAGAGAACAAGTGAGACAGCATTTCAAGGGAGGAGGAGATGGGAGAAAGAAGTCTTTTTCAAAAGCCCAGAGTTCTCAAAAATCCAGCTCTGGATTCATTATCCTATTTTCTCTTGAAAGGTCACTTGATATTAATAATACTTTTGAGGAACAAATTCCTTTTAATTTGCTAACGGTAGGGAATTCCATAGCATGGAAGAGAACACATTGTTAATTTCCTTTTGAAAGGGTGGGCTAGGATTTGCTCTGAAAAGAAAATATTGAGGTATAAACCCACCAATATCGTTCTTTCCTCCCACAGCACTCAGCCTGGAGCTGTGAAGGCTCTCTGTGTTCTCACCCACTGCTGAGCTGGGGGAGTCTGGATAGGAGCTTGTACCTCCTACATTGTTTCTGCTGGTTCTTGAACATACAGAAAGGTCTCTGACCTCCCAGTTTGTCGTATTTCTTGTCCAAAATAGTGTCCATTTTGTCCCATAGTGTCCATCTTCTTGAAGCAAGATTCAGATGGAGAACTAACAGCCTAGCTTGATGCTTGGCTACAGAAACAAGGTCAGGCAATGGGATACAGCTCCTTAATTTCCTGTTCAACCCACTCCCCCAAGACCAAGTAACAACAAAACCTTGCACTCAGAGTGTCCCAGGCACCTGGGTAAGACAGTAGGGTTAAGATGGATCTGTACTTGGAGGAAACAGTCCCAAGAGAAATACAACAATTTTTGCTCATTTACACCATCTGTACAAAACACACAGGTCTGGTCAGAGACCTGCCTGAGTTTCCTCCTTCCCAGTTCCCAGGAGGCAGCCAAAAGTCCACCAATGAGCACTAGAAAGAAGATGACCCTGGTAAAACTGGTGGGAGGGAGTAAGTCAGCTCACTGAGTGAAATAGTTCCACCTGCTATGCTAAACACAAAGAAACACAGTTAATTTAGCTTTTGCTGATGTATTTTCCTCCCCAGCACAATGCTATCACCACAGAAAATGACAACTGAGGACATACCTATAAAAGCATCCTCCATTATCATGATGCCACACCAGGTGAATACACTGCTTACCTTACATCCAGCTCAATGGCTCAATACAACTTGAAACATAGGTTTAAGTTGAATTTTCCTAATTAAAAACAATCTGTGTTCAGGATAAACCTCATTAGCTGGTGTGCTCCCAGATGAGCTAACTTTAGATAAACTGCAATATAATCCCACATCAAACCCACATCTTTGGTGAAAGGACTTTCAAATTGTTTGTAATGTTCTACTTTTCCCTGCAGAGTAAAGAAACACATGGTTTTATTGCAACAGCA